TATGTCTATTCTTATGCCAGTACCATACTGTTTTGATTACTGTAGCTTTGCAGTAATTGAATAAAATTTAAATAGTGCATACTAAGGGCTGGCTAAGGAGTACTGGTGGCACAACAGTTAAGGTTGGTAGTTCTAACCCACCCAGCAGCTCTGTGGGAGAAAAACTTGGTGATTCGCCCCCATAAAAATTACAGTCTAAAAACCCCATGGGGGCAGTTCTACTCTGTCCTATAGGGTCGCTATGAGTCGAAAATCTACTTGATGGCACCCAACAACAACAAGGGCTGACTAGGTGGGTTAAAAGCTAGAAACGGGCCAGCCGTTCTAGCGGACCGGCAGAAGTGAGGGGCGGGTGTCCTCCCAACTGCCTGCTGGGTTCCCGCGGGTGCGCCCCTCAAAGACCCCTGAGGAACTAAAATCCCCAAACAAGGGAGTCCCTCGATCCCTGACGTCCCCCCACTCCCACCCACTTCCACTGGGAGGTTGCAGTCGCTTTACCTGCTTTCTCCTTCCGGCTCCTGGGGCCCTAGAATGCGGGGTGGGAAAATCGGGAAGCCGGAAAGCTCGCGCCTGGGCTATGCAAATTACATGCTAACGACATGGAAATGTGCCGGCGCCTCCAGGCTGCGGGACGACCGGCGCCGCTGAGACCCTGGCCACGCCCGCGCCACCCTCACACGGACCCACCAAGGCGAGGCTTCCCCTCCCCGAACCAGACCCCCCCAAGGGAGGCGCAGATGTGGGTCCCCGCCCCCACGAGCCCCTGGCCCGCCCCCGGAACCGTAGCCGCCCCGGCGTCCCACCGCCTCTCCGCCAGGGCCCCGCGCAAACCGGTGAGCTGGCTTCCGGCCCGGACTGCTCGCCCCCCAGGCCTCGCTCCCGCCGCGGTCTCCGTTAGCGCCGTTGCAGAGCTCGGCCCCGCCCGCGGGCTTCCCAGGCCCCTTAGCGCATTTGGCGGGCTTCGTGGGGGTGAGGATCCAGAAAAGTCTCTCGGTCCGCCCGCTCCTGGCCTGCCCCAGACCGGTGGTCCAGCTTCCAGCGCCTTGGACTGCTGGGGACCCCCACGCTGGAGGGAGGGAGGCTCTCCAGGGCGACCCCCTGCCCTCTGTGGCCTTGGTACTACCCAAGATTTGGCCTGAAATCTCTGCAGGCTCTCTGGGTGCCCCAGAGCTCCACCTGAGGAGACCAGTCCTGGGCAGGGTGGAAGAGTGGAGGAGAAACCAGATCCCACGTGGAGGGGGCCAGAGACAGAGGGGACTTGAAGTTCCTGTTGCCTAGCCCATCCTCTTCCAGGCTGAGGCTTGCCACCTTTGGGCCCGCTTCCCTCCTTCCGGGTCCCCTGCCAGGCGCAGGTTTTGAGGGCTGCTGCTCTTCCTCCCAGCGGGGGCCCTCTGCTGCTGTCCTGTGGCCGGGCTCCAGGCAAGGGAGCCTGCCTGATGGAGGGGCCAGGGAGGGAGGGAGTCCCAGGGCCTGTCTGGGGCTCCCCATCCGTCTGTGGCTTCCAGGGCTGGCAGTTCCATTTTCCTGTCCTCAACTTTCCCACCACTGGAGGGCGCCAGCCCTTCCACTTAGGACACCCACGCCTAACCACAGACCCGCAGGCGAGGGGGTGGTTCTCCCCTGTGTCCATGTAGGTGCTCTCTCGTGGGGCCCAGGTCTGGTGTCTGTTTGCCTGTGAACTCTCAGATGTCTAGCTGGGGCTGCATGATCTGAGGGGCAGGGAAAGGATTCTGAGGGCCCAGTGTGGCCCTGGCGAAAACATTGACCGGGGTTCTGTGAGATGGGAGAGAAAAGGACCAGATATCCCTCAAACCTAGCTCTGTGCCACTTGGGCAGGAAAGGGGTGCCTCACCCTGGCTGGGGGTGGTCCCTGAGGGCTGAGGTTGGCAGCTGCCAGGCCCGGCCTGGAGCAGCTGCCCACTGCGGACACAGGAAGTGAGAGTGAAGTATCTCGGGCCTCATTGCCCTCCCTGCCCCAAACACCGATAGGCAGGACTGACCGGGACTCGTGGTTCCCCATGCCAAGGAAAGACCACTTCCCTTCCGGGACAGAGACAAAGGGCCCCCAGCCCCACCTCTTCTCTGCCCTGCTTAAGTCTTCTGGAATGGGCCTGCCTGCTGGAGAGCTGAGTCACCCACTGTCTTGGGCTTGCCTGTCCGCCAGGGAACACAGGTGGGTAACTGTGCTGGACCAGAGGCTGGGGGTGCACGAACAGGTCCCTGCTTATAGTGATGAAGGGGGTAGGAGGGGCAGGCAACAATAATAAGCAGGGGAAGGATCCCTCCAATATAGTGTGACGGCTGCTATTGAGTGAAATACAGGAAGGGGTCTAGCCCAGGCTGGAGTGGGGGTTAGGATGGCTTCCTGGGACTGATAGGACTTCTCTCTGGCTGGGGACTGTGGAACCTGAGCAGGGAGCAGCTTGCTGGGGCAGGGGACTGGAGGACCAAGTGGACATAAAAGCTGTGTGTGAACTGGGAGTTGTTGGGAGTGTGGGTGGGGACAGCTACCTCATGGAAGGACGCACCTGCAGAGGCTCTCAGAGGGAGGGTTAGAGTCTTTTGGGCTCTGATTGTCCCTGGAGTTTGTGCGGATGCAGTCCACGAGATGTCACAGTTGACCAAGGGCCACTAATCAGCAGCCTCCCTGAGACCTGGAAAGAGGAGATACTTCTGGAGAGCCAGCCCCACTGAAAGGTTCCAGAGAGAAGGTGGGGTGCAGGGGGAAGAGAAGGAAAGCCTGGAAAAAGCCCCCCAAAGAAGGGGCTGCTGAGGAAAGTGCTAAGGAAGACCTCGCCATAGAAGGGGCAGGACAAGGAATGGAGAAGGACTGGGCTGGTGTCCAGTCTCCAGAACTCCCACCATTGTCCACTCTCCAGTCTACACCCCTTCTGCCCAGCCACCTCTGGGTCAGTGACAGCTGGTTGCTCTGAAGCGAAGCCGTCAAGGTCTCCGGGATTGGGAGCGCCAGGGCAGTGAACTAAGGCAGCAGTGACCGGCTGGCAGGAGGAAGTAAGGAGGCGGAGGAAGGCTGGGTGGGCCCTTCTGGGAGGAAGAGGGGAAGGTGGCAGGCCCGGGAAGGCTGAGGGGCGGGCAAGTGCTGGGAGGAGGGTGTGGAGATTTGACATTCAGGGCAGCACAGGGAAGGATCAGGTGGCCTCCGTGGCCTTTCCATTTGCTGAGAGAACAGAAATCCTGGAAGAGGCGAGAGTTGGTTTGCGGGAGGAGTCGGTGTCTGAGGTACTGCCCCGAGCCTGGAACTGGGCAAAGGTCAGGGCTAGGGGACTGTTTGGGGCTGAATGTCACATGCAGGTGCCAGGAGGACACACACACGTACGTACCTCCGCGCACACACACACACACCCTGAGGCTGTGATGAATGGCGTGGCTTCTGGGAGGTTCTCTGGGGAATGAGAAGGCCTCACACTCGAGAGTGATTGGAGCATCTGAAGGAGGCAGTTCAGGGTGGATCCAGCTGAGGTGCTGTTTTGAAGCTCCTGGGCCTAGAGGGAAGGTGTGGGGCGCTAGGCTTGGCAGGAAGAGGGGGTTTCATGTTTCTGGCGGTTTCCTGAGCTTCCAAGATCTTCCTAGGACCTGGGGCTAAAGGGAGGGAGGCTGTGGGAACAGCGTGGCATCCATTGGCTGAACTGAGGTGAAGCCTTCTCCGCTGCAGCCATAGCCTGGAGCCCTGAATGCTGGTGAGGCGGAGGGGGACCCGGGAGCAGGAGGAGGGCTTACATTTGGGGAGGGGGCCTTAGGACTTAGACACTGGTCGTGGCCTCTGTGTGATGAGGGGGGAGTGGCCTCAGCGGTGGCCGTGAATGCTGATAGGGCTGTGTGTGTGCGCACCCGTGAGTGTATGAAGCTGTGTGTGTCATGTGCACCTAGATATGTTTGTGTGTGTGTCTGTACTTCTGTGTAGTATGTCTGTGTATGTCTGTCTCTGGACTTGTCTGCATGTAAGTATGCATCTGTCTGTGTGTCTCTGTGTGTCGGCCTGTGTGTCTGTTCGTATCTGTGTGTGTCTACTGTGTGCCTCTCTGTACATGTGTGAATAAGTCTATATGTCTGTGTAGTGTGTGACTGTGTGTGTGTGTGTGTGTCTGCTGTGTGCCTCTCTGTGTATGTGTGAATAAGTCTGTATGTCTGTGTAGTGTGTGACTTTGTGTGTGTGTGTCTCTGTGTGTCTCTGTACTTGTCTGTGTGTGTGTGTGTCTGTGTGTGCGTGTCTGTGGCTGTGTGTGTATGTGTTGGGGTGCTCAGAGAGAAGAGTGCTTGCAGGTCATTCTTCAGCATAGTTATGGAACCTGACTCTTGGCCACGAGCTCCTTATTGTGGAGGGATTTCACAGGACTCCTTAGAAGCACCTCGCCTCCCCCGTGAAGGCCGTTTCTGTTTCGGTGTCCGTGTTAGACTGCTATGTGAGTGCTCCGGGCTGCACCCAGCCCTGCTTGCTCACCCTGCCTTTGCAACAGCCCTGCTAGTGAACTTTGCTGCAGATGTTTCGGTGCCAAGGCCTGTGCCCGTGTGCAGAAAGCCTAGTCATGAATGTTGGAAATGTACCGGTGTGTGCCCGTGCGGGCATCGGGATGACCCTGGCCCAGAGGCAATTATTGAGCGCCTGTTGTGGGGGGGGGGCCCCAAGGCTGGGCCGAGAAATCCCACGTGCTGACCACCAAGTGTGTAATGACTAGAAAGAATTCCAGCCTCTGCCTCGACCCACTGACCACCTACCTGTCAGTGCCTTCTGCCTTGCCACCACCGTCTGCCAGGCCAGCTCTAGGCAGCTGGTGAAAGGATCTGCCAAGGCCAATGCGTGGGCCTCTGGCTGCCTTCCAGGGGGTGGTGCCCCCGCAATACCTGGTGCTGGGGCAAGAGGAAAAGACAGCTTGCAGCCTCGCCCAAGGCAGGCGGCAGGCGGGCAGGGGGAGGGCAGGCAGCCTGTGGCCACTGCAGTGCTCCGTTCTGTCCCCTCCCCAGGAGGCCCAGGTGGTGGTAGCAGCGGCAGCCAAGGCCGTGGCGGCGGTGCTGGGAGCAGAGGATGCCCCGGGCCTTGGAGCGCGAGGAGGGCTCCTGGGCCTGGGCAGTACTGCTGGCCTCCCTGCTGAACCAGGGCCTCACGCTTGGCTTTCCCACTTGCGCCGGCATCTTCTTCACTGAGCTGCAGCACGACTTCCAGGCTAGCAACAGCGAGACCTCCTGGTTCCCCTCCATCCTGACAGCTGTGCTCCACGCAGGGGGTGAGCAGCCTGGGAGAGGGGGGTTCTGGGAGGGCTGAGAAGGAGCCACAACTTCCCCGGGCTCCTGGGTCCCTGTCTTTGAGGCCACGGACTTTGCCTTGAGGGGTAAACTCCTACAATTTCACCTGATTTCAGCAGGGCTAGCCCGCCCGACTGGAAACCAGCTGGACTGGGTTGTGTCCCCCACAAGCCGACCCGGGGAGGGGAGGAGGGAGATGCATTCGAGGCCAGCACGAGGCTGTAGGTTTGCTTGGGTGTTCTGCTAGGCCTGGGAGGAGCTAGGGTTGGGGTCAGCCTACTGAGGCGCTGCCAATCTCCAGCTGCGTGATCTCTCTGAACCTCAGTTTCTTCCTCTGCAAAATGGGATAACAGCCATCACCCTGCCTACCACCCACATGGGACTGTGGGGAAGATCCAAGGAGACCTGGAAGTGCTCAGAGCCGGCGAAGTGGAGACCCTCATCAGGGGGCTTCAGGATGGGGAAGGAGACTTGAGGACCATACCAAGAAGCAGGCGGGGCAGGGCAGGAGGCCCATCTCTCCCTGGGCGAGAGGGCTAGGGAGGTGGAGGAAAGACAACCCCTGATTCCCCCTTCTCTCTGGGGACCGCCCTCTCTCTTCCATGTGTGAACACACACAGAGACACATGCATGTGCGCGCGCACACACACACACACACACACAGGCCTGTTTCCTGGCTGGCTCCTCCAGGAATGTGACTGCCTCTCCCTGACCCCAGCAACAGGGGAGGGGCAGCAGCTGGCCCAGGAGGGTTCTTCACCACAGCCCAGGGTGCTGGGACTCACCTGCCCTGCTTCTGGGAGCTCTCCACAGGGACTCCACAGACAGCGACCTTAGGAGGGGCCTGGTCCACCCGCCTGATGGCCCACAGGGCTCTCCCTGTGTGGGGTTTGCTCACCTCAGCTGACCCCAGCTCCCTGGTTATGCCCCCGCCATTCCCTCTGCCTGGCACCAGGCCCTTCCCTGGAATTGGGAGGAAGGCTGGACGGGGTAGATTGCCACCCTCTCTGGGATATCCCCGAATTGGCTCCCCGGGGGCATGGGCTCAGGACAAGGGGAGCGTCAGGCCTGGCCCAGACCACCATGGCCTCCTGGCCTGGTTGGGTGGGGGCGGGAATCTTGGGTGGCTCCTTCTCGCGTGGGCAGAGGGGCCTGGGCACCGAGCATCTGATGGGATCCCCACTCTCCAGCCACCCCCCTAGCAGCCACACCAACATCTCAGCCGGCCTGGGATTCCTCTGTTGCCAGCCCCCCTCACAGACACACACCATTAGCCCAAGCTCATTCAGAGTGTGGTGGAAATTTGAAGCTTGAAAGTCTCACTGGTTCTAAGCCCCACCACTGCCCACACACACACTCAGGAGGAGCGTACAAGCTCAGGGGCTCCCCGAGGCTGCAGAGTGGGTGCATGGCAGAAGCAGTGCCTCCCGTGGAGAAAGCACCCTACCTCCCAGCGCCCCACCCAGCGCCCTCTGCAGTCTAGCTGGCTGGCGTCCAAGCCCCCCGCCCCCAACTCATGATGACTCAGGGCTTTCCCCAATGTCACCTTTCCTAAGTCAGCATTCAGGTAGTAAAGACGTGTGAGTCAGTGGCCATGCCCCATCCAGTTGATTATCTCTGGGGACAGGCCGCTCACTTCCTTGGTCACTCACATACACCTACTGGCTCACACCCACGCATCCCCTCTCTACCCGTACACACACTGTCCCTGTCCCTTTGGCTGCAATCCTGGAGAAGCTCGATTATGCTGTGGCTAGGGGCAGGGCCCTCAGTGAATGGGGCCCCTAAGAGGAGGAGGTGTCAGGAGCAGCCGGCCTGGACTGGCTCACTTCTGCATATCTGGGTCTGGGCTGCTGAGAAAGTGCCTCAGGGTGGACATGGGGTGGGAAGAACAGGCCCCTTTCCAACTGGAGCCAAAAGTCTGGGTGTCAGACTTTGGTGATGGGAGAGGGGAGAAGGCACCTCTCCTCCATCCAGCACCCTCAGAGGGCAGGGCAAGGGGGTGTAATGCGAAAGCCCAGGCTGCCCACCATAGGGGCAAAGGCCCCCAACTGGACAGGGTGGAAGGTGGCGGGAGGGCTGTGGCCCAAGGTGTGAGCGACAAGCACTGCAGGTCTTCCTGAGGGCAGGGGAGCAGGGCTGGAGATGCCCAACATGATTTAGGCTCCCTGGGATCCTCCTTCGAAAACAGAGCCATGGGCAGGTGTCCACACCGGTCACGAGCTTGTCTCTGATCTCATTTCACGTGGTGGATCAGCCATCAGTCAGTCTAAGCCCTCCCTCTGTAGGGGAGGAAGCTGAGACACAGAGAAGGATGGAGGTTTGCCTGGGCCACATGGCCAGTCTGTGGCAGGGTGGGGATCAGAACCCAGGCCTGCAGGCTCCAGGGCTTGTGCCCTTTAAGCCCCCTGGCTATTTACTGCTGGGACTCCCTCCCCACCTCCCCCTAGCCCCCTGACCTCATTCAGCCGCTCCCTGCTGCCACTCCATCTCTCCTCACCACAGGGCCCCTGTGCAGCATCCTGGTGGGGCGCTTCGGCTGCCGATCAACAGTCATGCTCGGGGGGGTGTTGGCCGGCCTGGGCATGGTGACCAGCTCCTTCTCCAGGACCCTCAGCCAGCTCTACATCACAGCAGGACTCATCACAGGTGACTGTCGCTCCATCCCAACAATTTCTGGGTGCCTACTCAAAAGTGTTGGTGGAGGGAGGGTAGCAAGTGAACAGGGCAGACAAGCAAGCTCCCAATCTTCTGGAAGTTACAGACCAGTGGGGGAGACAGATGATGAACAAAGAAATAGGACTATTTCTGATCCTGACAGGTGCCATGAAGAAGACAGGACAGGTGATGGGATTGTGTCCTGGGCCGGGGGTGGTGGGCAGATATTATACAACCCCCCGTGTTACAGAGGAGAACTGCTCCTGGCGATCTGCTGCCATAAATATTACAGCCAAGAACGTAGTTGTACTCTGTGTAAACACATGGGTGAGATCACTATGAGTTGGAATCAACTTGATGGCAACAGATTTAGTTATTATTTTTTTAATCTTTATGGAGGCAGATCACCAGGCCTTTCTTCTGTGGCTTTGCTGGGTGGGTTCAAACCCCCAACCTTTAGGTTAATAGTCGAGCAGAAACCGTTTGCACCACCCCGGGATCTACTATTACACAAATAAAGAGGAAGACTGTCTAGAACGTCTCATGGAGAAAAGAAAGCAGGGCTTGGGGGAGGTTGCTGTTTTCAGGAGGGTGGTCAGGGAAGGCATCCAGAGAAGGTGGTATTTGAAGGGAGACCTGATGGAGGTGAGGGAGTCAGCCCTCAGGCTCTCTGGAAAAGGGCATTCCAGGCAGAGGGAAGAGCAAGTGCCATTGCTTGGAGGGTTCAAGGAAAGCCAAGTGACCAATCGGTTAGAGGGGCCCGAACAAGTAGGTCAAAGAGGTGGGGAGGAGGGTGGATGGGGGTTCAGTTCATAAAAGGTTTTCTTGTGAGATGGGAAGCCATTTGAGGGGTTCAGGCAGAGGGGTGAGTGACATCATCTGACCCGTAATGATGTAAGGTTTCAAGAGTCGAGAAGGATGACACCGAGGTTTTATGCCCCGTGTTACCAGAAGGATGCAGCCACCGTTAACTATGATGGGAAGCCCAGGGAGGAGCAGGTTGGGGAAGATGGGAAGCTGAGGTTTGGACGTGTCCAGTCTGGAGTTCAAGGAGCCGTTCTGAGCTGGAGCAGGCAATTTGGGAGTCATGAGCTGGACGGTACTTAAGGTCAAGATGAGGGGCCACCTGCTGTCCCCAAGGGAGTGAGGGTGGACAGCTGGAGAGCCCTGAGGATGGCGCCCGGGGCCTCCAGTGTGAGAGGTCTGCCTGGGAGGGAGAATCAGGAGAGTGTGGGCTCAAAAACACAAGATGGAGGGTGTGCTGAGGAGGAGGGAGCGACCCCCTGTGTCAGACCTCCCGTGAATCCAGTCAGGTGAGAGCAGACACAGCCAGAGCACCATCAGTGTGGAGGCTGATGACCTTGATGGTGCAGAGGTATGGATGAAAGTCTGCTTGGAATGGGTTCAAAAGAGATCAGGAGAGGAGGAATTGGAGACAGCAGGTAGAGAGTACTTTCAGGGGATTTTGCTGGAAGGAGAATGAGCTGGAAAGGAGGAGAATGTGGGTGATGCCAGAGAGAAGGGGATTGCTGGAGGGATGCCTTCAAGTGGGCAAGATCAGGGCAGACATGGAGGGCTGGCCTTCCTGGGAGCACGACATTCCATCTCACAGGCGGAAGGCAGGCGGTCAGCTGACGGGGAGGAGGTAGGGATGCACAGAGGAAGAAGAGGGCGTGAGTGGCCAGCTGGGAGGGTGGGAGAGGAAATGGACGAGGGAGCCAGCGTGGGGTCACGGGCAGCCCAGGGCCCGCTGGAGGCCAGTGGTCATGGCGTGGTTGCAGCTTTTTCTCCAGCATGTTCTGCTGTGCGGGGTGGGCGTGGAGTGGGGGAGCTGGTTTCTGCAGGGTCGGGGAGGTGGAGAAGGCCCTCTGGAGAGGCAGCGTTTGAGCGGAGCTGGGCAGAGGTGATGGCGACTACATATATTCTGAAGCCTGGGGCAGCTTGGTGTTCAGAGGACGAGAAGGAAGGCTGATGTGGCCCGATTGTGGTGTGTGATGGGAGAGTGGCCTGAGATGGGGCCCAAGGGGGGCCACCAGGAGCCAGTCCGGGCAGGGCCCTCCAGCCACAACAAATATTTGAGATTTTTTCAAAGTGCAACGGGAAGACTTTGGAAGGTTTCAGCGGGGAGGAATTAATCCGATTTACCTTTTTAAAAGATCACTCTGGTGCTGGACTGGGCGAGCAGAGCTGGGTGGGGAGACGTGTATGGGGAGGTTGTGAGGGAGGCTGATTCCATCCTAACTACATGAGGACTTGAGGGACAGCTTGTAGCATAGTGGTTGAGTGTGTACAACCTGAAGCCACGCTGCCTGGGTTCAAATCCTGAGCCTGTCACCTTGGGCAAGTCACTTCACCTCTTTGTGCCTTAGTTTCCCCCCATGTAAAATGAAGCTAATAATAGCAGCTACCTGCCAGGGTCGTTGTGAGGGTTAATTGTGTCAACATGCATCAAGCACTTAACTCCCTGGGGACTTGGAAGTGGGGCTGGGCTAGAACCACAGTGGGCAGGAGTGGGAGATGGCCCCGTGAACCCACTCTGGGCGCAGCTTGAAGGCCTCAGAGCACCTCTGAGCTGGTCTCCTTCTCCCTCCACAGGCCTGGGGATGTGCTTCAGCTTCCAGTCGAGCATCACTGTGCTGGGCTTCTACTTCACCCGCCGGCGGGTGCTGGCCAACGCGCTGGCCTCAGTGGGTGTCTCCCTGGGCATCATGCTCTGGCCACTGCTCTCCCGCTACCTCCTGGAGGATCTGGGCTGGAGGGGCAGCTTCCTCATCTTCGGTGGGGTCCTTCTCCACTGCTGCGTCTGCGGGGCTATCATGAGGCCAGTGGCCACCACTGTGGCCCCGGAGACTAGAGAAGGCCCCCCTCCACCGCTCAAGACATCTGCGCCTGGCAGCCTGGCAGCATGTAGCCGGATCATCCAGCGCCACCTGGCCTTTGACATCCTGCGGCACAACCCCGGCTACCGTGTGTATACACTGGGTGTCATGTGGATGATCCTGGGCTTCCCGCTGCCCCATGTCTTCCTGGTGCCATACGCCGTGCGGCATGGGGTGGACGAGCACCGGGCCGCCCTGCTAATCTCCATCATTGGCTTCAGCAACGTCTTCCTGCGGCCCGTGGCTGGGCTGGTGGCAGGCCAGCGCAAATTTGCCAGCCACCGCAAGTACCTGTTCATCCTGGCGGTCCTGCTCAATGGGCTTACCAACCTGGTGTGTGCGGCCTCAGCCGATTTCCGTGTGCTGGTGGCCTACTGCCTGGCGTACAGCGTGTCCATGAGTGGCATTGGTGCCCTCCTCTTCCAGGTTCTCATGGACATCGTCCCCATGGACCGCTTCTCCAGTGCCCTGGGCCTCTTCACCATCCTGGAGAGCGTCTCCATCCTCATCGCTCCGCCAATGGCTGGTGAGGCCCCCAGAGGGTGGGAGGGCAGCCAGGTGTGCCCAGGTACAGCCTGAATGGGCAGGGGATGGGGGGCCACAGTCTGCACAAATTTGAGCCCAGTCCGGCATCTCCAGGGGTTGGAGCTTGGAATCTTTTTCCCAAGCACCACATGGAACAGTGCTGCAGACTGTTCCCCAGCTGGCATTGGGGTTCGTGTCTCAGACCTACCTGAGTCCTTCACTTCTTCTCTGTGCCTGTTTTCTTATCAGTCAAGTGTGGATAATACAGAATCTTCCCCATAGGCTCCTTGTGAGGATTAGGAATTACATACATAAGGAGCTTAGCAGGGAGGCTGGCACACAGGAAGTGCCCACCAGGTGCGTGTTTGCTGTTATTAATATCCGAGACCCCCTGCTTCCTGCCTGTGGGATCCCAGCAAGTCCTTTTCCTTCTCTGAGCCACAATGGCATCTGCAAAATGTAGAAAAGAACACCCACCACTAGCCATTTATTCACCCGTGCCAGTCCCTGGCTGTGCATGGCTGAACACAGACTGGCTCACCTTCAGGAATGAAAGTAAAGAGAGCCATATGTAATTACAGTGGTGGTTTGTGCTGGGAGGGAAACAGAATATGAAGGAGAGATCCATATGAGAGGACGTGTGGGGCAGCTGGGAGCCTGTCTTGCAGAGTAAATGAGGAAAGGTTCTTGAAGCCCCTGATGCTGAGTTGTAGTCAACAGACAACACAGGCGGTGGTTATTACAATAAGACCCTGAGATAGACTCTCCCAGTGGGGAATCTTTCCCCCAGTGCAGCTTTGGAAGCCTTAGGTTCCAAGGGAGTTTTCCAAGCAAGTAAGTGGAGAGAGCTACCCAGAAGGTATGAGTAGGCCCTGGGAGGTGGCTCCTTGGCTGCCTGCCACCAAGGGTAAAGGAGTCATGCTCTTATGTTGCCTTCTGGCCAGAATCTTTTTTTTTTTTTTTAAACATTTTATTGTTTAGGTGAAAGTTTACCAAGCAAATTAGTTTCGCATTCAACAATTTATACACAGCTTGTTTCAGGATATTGGTTGCAAATCCCGGAATGTGTCAGCACTCTCCCTCTTTCCTCCTTGGGTTCTCCTGTCCATTCACCCAGATTTCCTGTCCCTGTCCTTCTGAACTTTGCTTTTGGGCACATGCAGCCCTTTGAGCTCATATAGGTGATTGTTCTGAGTTATATCTTCCTCACTGGTGTTATTGTTCATTTTAGAGGCCTGTGTATTGTATGGCTATAATGTAAACTCCAGGAGTGATTTCAGTTCCAGGTTTGAAAGATATCTAAGGACCATAGTCTCAGGGGTTCCACTAGTCTCTATCAGACCAGAAAGTCTAGTCTTATTTATGAGTTTGAATTTTCTTCTACATTTCTCTCCCACTCTGTCCATGACCTACTACTGTGATCCCAATCAGAGCAGTCAGTAATGGTAGCTGGGCACCATCTAGTTCTTCTGGTCTCAGGCTAGTGGAGGCTGTGGTTCATGTGGTCCGTTGGTCCTGTGGACTAATTGTTTTCTTGAGTCTTTGGTTTTCTTCATTCTTCTTTGCTCTGAATCAGAAGAGACCAATTGTTGTACCTTAGATGGCCACTTGAAAGCTTTTAAGACCTCAGTCACTACTCGCCGGGGTAGGATACAGAACATTGTCTATATGGATTATGATATGCTAATTGACCTAGATATCCCCTGAGACTATGCAGAATCTTTTGAAGAACTCTCCCTGCCCAGGCCAGAGTGGGTTTATTTTCCTCCCCTCCTTTCATTCAACAAATACCTTTCGAGCACCTACTAGGTGCCAGCCATGATTCCTGGCACTGGGGATACAGCAGAGAGAAAAATAAAATCATGAACTGGGGAGCACACAGTTTAGTTGGGGGGAGACCTGGTAGCCCCGGGCAGTAGCCTGACTTACTCTCTGCTCCCCAGGATTCCTTGTGGATGCCACTGGCAGCTTCAGCTATGTTTTCTACATGTCAGGCTTCTTCCTCATCTCAGCTGCCCTCTTCATGGGTGGCAGCTTCTGTGCCCTGCAGAAGAAGGAGAAGCAAGGCAGGCCAGCCGAGGCAGAAGGAGCCATCACGGAGGCTGCTGCAGAGTGGTGCCTTACCCTGGAGGGCACAGATGGTTCTGACAAGCGGCTGTGCCCCAAGATCATGTATGTGACCAGCGTCTGAGCCCCAGGGTCATATATGTGACCAGCACCTGAGCCCCAGGGTTACACATGTGACCAGCATCTAAGTCCTGGGATCACGTGGCTGACCACTGTCTCAGCCCAGGAATGGTGCTTCCAGCTGCTTCAGCAGGGGCTGGGTGAAGGGCTGCCCAGGAAGTCAGGACCAAAGGCTGTCCAGGCTCTGTAAGCAGGACTCTGCCAGGAGTTGGGACCTTGGAGGCTGGCCTCTGAAGACTCAGGGTTCCTTCCAGCCAGCTGAATCCAGGAGTAGGTTCTCCTGGCTTTTTCATTGGAAAAAGCTACCACCCTATGGCCCAGGAAGGTGGGTCTGAGCCCTGCTTGAGTCTGTCACAGCCGGCTCGGCTCAGCTGGCTGCCCACTGCTGCTACAGCTCAACACACTGGACTTTCAGGTTCAGCCTGGATGCCTCTGATGGGATCCCTCTTTTTCCTCCACCTTCCAGATAGTTCCAAAGCACACATGCCTCCTCAAGGGCCATCCTGTGCCCTCTCTTCCTAAGTGGCCCAGCCCTTGTCCTTAGGGCAGCCAAGGCTGGTGCTCGCTGGGGCTGCCCCAACACAGGCTGCTGGGCCCCACACTGGCTGGAGCCCTGGGAAGAAGGGCCCTGGCAGAGAAGGAGCTGTGGCCTGCTGCAGTGGAGGGCCAGGCTGAGGAGTGGTCCTGGATGCAGGATTTGGACAGATTAAACACTAGATAGAATGCCCTTTCTGGCATCAGTGCAGCAAACTGGAGGGAAGCCTCTGGCTGGGGTCCTAGAATTGGTGAAGTCAGAGGGGTCCCCCTGCACACTTGGCAGGGTCTATTCTAAGGTCGCCCTCCTGTCCCCACCCTATAGGCCTGGCCAGGAAGGTTAAGGCTGGGGTAGGGGGGTGGCAGGCATTTGACTGTCCAGAGGAGAGGGCTGCTAGCTAGGACCTGAGGCCCTCTGTGAAAACAGGGCCACTTCTGTGACTGAAAGTGTCTCTGGGTGATGCAAACGGTTAACACACTCAAATGCTGACCGAAAGGTTGGAGGTTTGAGTCTACCCAGTGGTGCATCAGAAGAAAGATCTGGCAATCTACTTCCCAGAAATCAGCCATTGAAAACCCTACGGAGACAGTTCTACTCTGACACACGTGGGGTTTCCATGAGTCAGAATCGACTCAAAGGCAACTGGTCTCTGTGTCAGAAGCCCTGCCACTCCCCTCCCTGTCCTCCCTGCTGTGTTGGGTCACCCTAGGGTAAGTCGCTGGCTGGGCCAGCTGCCAGCCAGTCCACCCCTGCCCCCACTTTGCCTCTGCCCTGTGGCCTGGAGGTCAGAGCTCCTCATATACACTTTGCTGGTGACTTCCCCTGAAGTCATCACCCCAAGAACTGGCAGGCATCAGCTCAGGCCTGTCCCAGCAGGGTTTCAACCCGAGGGGAAGGGAAAAACAGAGTCTGTTTCAATGGCACACAAGCACACTTCCTGCAGCAGGTTATAAACCCAGTGAACTATGGAAGCTGGAAAACCCGGCCTGGAGTAAGCTTCCCTTCCCCCTCCCTTCTCCCAGCCTGGCAGGGGCTCCTCAGTGCAGGACCTTGCTTGTTGATTCAGGCTCAGCCAGGCGCCACAAGAAAATCCAATCAGGCCAGGGAAAATCGATTTTATTTTCATGACCTGACTCCAGCCTTCCTCCACCACATGTCCAGCTCTCGTGAATAGTATCCTCTGGGATGTCCTCTCTCTTCCAGGGCCCTGCCAAGAGTGCCCCCTTATGGCCAAAGAGGTAGTGCAGAAGCGAAGCAAGGGCACTGGGAGGGGACAGAGACCTGAGTTTATGTTTGAGAATATCACAATTTGCTGTGTGACATGGGGCAAATTGTTTCCCATCTCTGGGCCTTGAGAAAGAAGGAGGTTGTCTCGGATCAGCTAAGGTCTTTTCCATTTGAAACATCTAATTATGTGGGAGAATTCTCACCTTCCAAGTAGGAGACTTGGGTTCGATTCCCGGCCAATGTACCTTATATGCAGCCACCACCCGTCTGTCAGTGGAGGCTTGCTTGTTGCTATGATGCTGAACAGGTTTCAGTGGAGCTTCCAAACTAAGAAGAACTAGGAAGAAAGGCCTGGAGCTCCACTACCAAAAATCAGCCTATAGATCACAATGGTCCGATCTGCAACCAATCATGGGGATGGTGCAGGAGCGGGCAGCATTTAGTTCCATTGTGCATGGGTTGCCATGAGTCGGGGGCCGACGTGACAGCAGCTAAAGACAATTATGTGGGTGTCCCGGCCCCTCCCCCCAGTCCGTGCTTGACCACCATCCATACTTTGTGCTCTAATGGGGGAAATGCTTGGCCACATTCTACTGAGTCTTGTCTCCTTCTCCATCTTGAGTAGAAAAGGAGGGAGTTGGAGGCTGGTGGGTAGGCGAGTGTTTTTGGTGCTGGTAGCCACCAGGCTTTGGTGTGTTGTACGTCCTCAAATCGGCCCATTCCCTGAAAACAGATTTAAGGGAAAAAAAAAATAAACATTCAGCATAGGAAACTTTGACCCTGGCCTTGTCTGACCCCAGGCAATGGTGGCAGTGATCTCTGGGCAGAATTCCTTCAGCAAATACGAGGAAGGCCCTGCCCTCAGCACAAAGCCAAGGGCAAAAAAAAAAAAAAAGCCAAGGGCAGAATTCTTCCAGCCTTAGGAGATAAGACCACAACCAGGGAGAGATGAAGTGGCCCATCAAGTTCCACAATCCACACTCAGCTGATTTCCTGGGAATCCCCTAGAGAGGGCTTGGGGCAGTTCCTGACCCGAGCTGATGGAGCTCACTCCATTCTGCCCCCCAGGCCTTTGCTGCTTTGTCCAGCCTAAGCGGAGAAAGCCCCAGGGCTCCCAGCTGAGATACACTTTCCCTGGCCCCATCAGCGCCCCACAGCAGCTAGGATGCTCATAAACAGTCTACTGTCTAAACTGCCCAGGGGGTACCGACCAGTGTGGACCTCATCTGGGCCCTCATTCCAAGGCCAGCGTGGAAGGTACATGGTCCCTGCCCTCAGGAAGCTCACAGCCTAAGCCCCCTCCACCCGATTTTCAAGCCCGATAGGAATGTGGCAGGGTCACCACCCTCCCTAGTGCTCCAGTCCCCCGCCCACGAGATCTGGGTGGTGCACCTTCTTCCTGGGAAGCCCCGAGAAAAAACCGGGCGAAAGGGCTTCGGCGTCCAGGACTCCAACACCCAGAAAGCCACTGAAGCCGCTCACTTGGGGGAACCGAGGCTCCTTCTAGGGCCCCTCGGTGCTGCCCGGGAGTACGCCACCTCCCACCCCGAGATTTGTGGCCGGAGGTGGCGGACCCAGCTCCGGCTGCGAAGCAGTGGGTGTCGGGCTCACTTGTTTTTTTTTTTTTTTTTAAAAGAAATATTCAAATGTTTAAGATGCAGTGTCCTACTTACGAAAGACTAACAAAACGTTTTCAGTCTGATATCGGATAAATCACGTAATATAGTAGCCTTCAGAAGCAATTCTACTCTGGGGCCGTCGCCCGGCTTTTTGAAAAGCCGACCTGACTGTAGAGTCAAAGAACCGATGTGTGGAACGCAGGCAGCTGATTCCAGCGCTCCAGAGGTGCTAACCCCGCCAACCACGGAGGGGCGTGCAGACGCTTCCGGGTCTAGAGGGGCCGCGGGCCCGAGCGATATGGCGGGAAGCGAACAGCGCACGCGCGCCAAGCTTAGCGGCGGCCCCCGCCCCTCGCTCCTCCCCTTCCGACCTCCAGGGGCGGGGCTAACATGGCTTCCGCCGGGGGTGGGAACACTGCTCACTACTCCATCCCTAATTCGCCGGCGGTTGCTTTTCCCACGACCCAATTTTAGTTTCCAAGCCCAACCCTTACAGGGTCCTGAGGCCCCTCGTCCCCAACACCCAATCCCAGCTGCAAAGCACTGCAGAGCCTGAACCCAGGAAGGAGCCAATTTCCAACCCCCGTACCCCTTGCCTCCCACACCGTCTCCACGGACCCCCGGAGCCTCCGCCACCCCGACCATGGCCCAGAAGCCGAAGGTGGACCCCCACGTCGGGCGGCTGGGATACCTGCAGGCACTGGTCTCGGAATTCCAGGAGACGGAGAGCCAAGGTGAGAACGGCGGGATGGAGACCAGGGGGCCGGAGGCCACCGCGACCGCCTCCCGGACCTGGTTCCAGTGCCGCTTTCCCCTTGTAGACGCCAAGGAGCAAGTCCTGGCCAACCTCGCCAACTTCGCCTATGACCCCAGCAACTACCAGTATCTGCGGCAGCTGCAGGTCCTGGATTTATTCCTCGATTCGCTGTCGGAAGAGAATGAGACCCTGGTGGAGTTTGCCATTGGTAAGGACGGGGACCGACCTGCGGGGGCCCACCCTCCTTGCACTGCCTGGTGGGCTGTGGTGAATGAGTGAGTTGCTAGGAAAGGAATCAGCTGTGAAGCGCGATATGTCTTGAACAGACCCTTTTTTAGTAACACTGACTATTGAAGGGTCTAGACAAGTTCTAAAGAATGTCCCATCGTCCAGTTTGTCTGGTTGCCTCTTCGCGGTGTCATTTAGCTTGTTTGTCTGCCCCCTTCATTTCCCGTAACCTAGAAATTAGATTTAAAGTCTTTTTTTAAAAAATTATTGTTGTTGTTGAGAACATAAACACAACAAAACATACACCAATTCAACAGTTTCTGCATGTACTATTCAATGACAATGATTACATTCTTCGGGTTGTGCAACTATTCTTACTCTCCTTTTCTGTGCTATTCCTCCCTTAAATACAAACTCACTGCCCACTAAGGTTCATATCTAATCTTTCAAGTTGTCAATTTGATCCTATATAGATAGATCTTAAAAGAACAGAATGCTCCAGGCAGACATTCTTTACTAATTGAGCTAAACTATGGTTTGGTTTTAAGAAGACTTCAAGAGTTATTTTTGGTTTAAGTTTTAAAGAGTAATAGTTTCAGAGGTTCATCCAGCCTCCGTGGCTCCAGAAAGCCTGGAGTCCATGAGCATTTGAAATTCCGTTCTTCATTTTCCCCCTTGTGATCAGGATTCTTCCATAGAATCTTTGATCAAACTATTCAGTAATGGTAGCTGGGCACCATCCAGTTCTTCCAGTCTCATGGCAAAGGAGGCAACTGTTCATGGAGACAATTAGCCATGCATCCGTTTTCCTCTCCTGTATCCTGACTCTCCTTCCTCTGTTGCACCGGGTGAATAAAGATCAATTGTTGTGCCTTGAAGAGCTGCTTGCAAGCTTTTAAGACCCCTGGCGCTATGAAACAAACTAGGAGGTAGAACAGAAGCACCAAACACGTTATTAGGACAATTAACTGGGATGTCCCAGGAGTTAGCAGAATCAAGTAGCAAATGTTTTTCTAGAAGACATCCTAGGTGAGTGTGAATTAGATTTTTGAGATACCATTCAGATCTGCCCCAGTGTTTGAGGTACCCAGGGCTAGAGTACACATGGGGGTTGACCCCCCATCCCTTCTCACCGAGGGGCCTCACATGCATGTGGGTGGATACCAAGCTCCGTTCACACCCCACCAACAGCTGCCCCAGCTGCCCCTTGGCCACTCCTTAGGCTGAGAGTGCACACACAGCAGTGAGGGCCACTCCCGGAGCCAGGAAGGAGAACCAGGCCGCTGTGGAAGTGAGTTTAGGGCCTGGAACTCCAGGTGCCGGCGTGGGGAGTGGGCTTCAGGTGGGCGCTGCAGAATAGGGCCCTCTAACGCTGGGCCTGGGACAGGAGCCCCCGTTGCCCAGGTCTAGGAGTGGTGCTAGCTCTTCTCTGCCGCTCTGGAAGATTATTATGCTCAGCGCTGTTGTTAGGTGCCACTGAGGGTAGTTTAGACTCAGAGTGATCTCATGTGACAGAGTAGAACTATCCCATGGGGTTTTCTAGGCTGTAATTTTTTTTATATATATTTTGCCACGATTTTTTTTTAAAAGGAAGAAAGTTTGTAAAGACCTATTTTCCATTAAGTTTAGTTTTAAAATAAAAGAGAATCTGCCACCACAGTGAGATGCCACTTCACATCTTCTGTAGTTGTTAGATGCCATCAAGTAAATTTCGACTCATAGCGGTCCCGTGTGACCGAGCAGAACTGCCCCATAGGGTTTTCTAGGCTGTAATCTTTACTGGAGCAGATCGCCAGGTCTTTCTCCCATGGAGCCGCTGGGTGAGTTCAAACTGCGAACCATTTGGTTAGCAGCCAAGTGCTTAACTGCTTAATGGGTCTCTCAGATTTCCTCCTGTCCTCTGAAGTAAATCCTACACCCCCACCCCCACTGTTCTGTAACTGCTCCGCAGCTTCTGCTGTCAACAGACAGTGGCCCCTTCGGACGCCTGTGGCTAGACCTGCACCTGGGAGAGCTAGAGGATAGATCCCAAATCAAGCTTCTAACCCTGGAGAAAACTTGCCTAACATCAAAGAGAAGTTGTCCTAAGAATGGACAACTTATTAACCAGAAGTCTGCTCTGCCGGGTCTCTTCAGGTTCAGGGAGCAGCTTTGCCGGGCAGGGGCACCCTGCCATCCTGGCCCAGTGCGTCTCCTCCGTGGGAACTGGGTGGGGGGCTTGGGCCTGGCCTGGGCTGTTGCTCTCCTGGGCCTGGAGTCCATGGCCGACTTCTCCATGTCTTAGATGGATTCTTGTGGGCGAGTCCTGTCCCTCCTCGGAGCCTTGTCTCCTCACCTGTGCCTTGCCTACCTCGCAGGACGGTTGTGGGGATCAGAAGTGTATGCCTGTGAGTCTGTCTGCCTCTCTGTGAAGATACTTTGTTTAGAATTGACAGTTTTCTTATCCCCAGGTATCCTTTCCCAGCCACTTTATTGGTGTGTGTATGTGTGTGTGTGTTTCTGTTTTTCTTTCTTTTTTTTTATTGTGGTAAAAATATATATAACACAACATTTACCAATTCACCAGTTTTTACATGTACAATTTACTGACACTGATTACATTCATCATGTTGTATGACCATCACCAGTATCCATTGCCAGACTTCCCATCACTGTGAACAGATACTCACTGCTCCCTAAGCAATGACCCCCTTTCCCTCCCTCCCACCCCGGTGGCCGCTAATAAACCTTGGTCTCTGTACATCTGCCCATTCTAGCAGTTCACAAAGAAGGATCCTACACTATTTGTCCTTTTGTGACTGACTGACTTCGCTCAGCGTAATGTTTTCAGAGTTCAGCCGGGTTGCAGCCTGTATCAGGACTTCATTCCTCTTTATGTCCCATCCCAGCCACTTGTTCCTCCTCTTCTCCCCCTCCCCGTCCTCCCACCAGAGCAAGGCCCCCATCCCAAGAGCACTAGCTTTCTCAGCATTTGAATCCCTCCGGGAGATCCTGCGCAGATTAAAAATCTCTTGCATTTATCGTGCATAACTTAAGGGAGAGTCCCTGTGGCACTCAGCAGTGTATTTGGTTACTGCTGTCGTTCCCCTGAGTGGCTGTGGCACTAAATGGGGCACAATGTCCGGTGCTCAGGCTGCCACAGAAGAGCTCTGAGCTGCGCTTTGTGGCTTGGAGCCCTTTATCTCTGGTGGCAGGCCTAAGATTGTGATCTCCAGATCACAGAGCTGAGGTTATCACTATATGTCTTGAATACTCAGGCCTTGTGGCCTGGGGAGGAGGCTGGAAGGGGTGGAAAGCGCAGGCAGGGACCAGCCATGAGCTGGTGCCGGACCCGGAGCAGGGTTGGTCCTGGGGTAGCCAGCAGCGAGAGCTGGGTCAGATTGCTTTGCTGCAGCTTGCAGAACACGAACCACGATGTCCGTCGGTTGGCAAGCCGTGGGGGGTGCTTAGTAAGAGCTGGGCTTTGGGGTCAGACAGGCCTGGGTTCAGGTCCTTCCTCCACGGCTCACCGTCTGGGCGTCATTTCCCTTTTCCTGTCACCTGCCAGATGGGGGCAGTATCAGTGCCCGCCTCACAGCGTTGCTGAGAATTGGATGAAATAATGATGCTGTTGTAGGACCAGGGTCTGCAGCTGCAGTATCCCCTCTTCCTCCCACAAGGACCTGGTGTCCTGAGCCCCTTTGGGGTAAACAACTCCCTCTTCTGGGCTGGGATGGGATAATGTCCTATCAAGGGAACCACCCACCGGCTCCGGAGATTCTTGCCTTCTGGAAAAACATTACTGAATGATAGGGAATAATAGGAACATTGATCTCAGCGTCCCAGCAGGAGCCCAGGCGGAGTTAGCTGAGTGAGCCTTGCCATAATGTGTGCCGGCCCGAGCTCAGCCTTCCATCTCCAGAGCCGGGCGGTGGAGCTTAGTGATGATAGCAGCATCCACGAGTACCCACTATGTGCCGTGCACTGCACCACATGAGCGTCACCTCCTCTGAGCCTGAGTCACAATTGACGGGCGCTGTGCTTCTAACACCCGTTTCCACTGAAGAATCTGGGGCTTAGCAGGTGAAGTAGGTTCTAAGGGTTAAAAAGTGCCAGACCTCTGTCTTCAACCCAAAGCAGTTGGATTCTCGAAGCTACTCTCTTGACCACTTTCCTGCCCTTGGAAACTTCCCTAATTCCTAGGCTTGTGCACTGTTAAAGCTAGAGAGGAACTTAGTCCACATCCGTCCTTTTACTGACGGGAAAACTGAGGCATTGTCATCTGCCCCTCAGCCGGTGTCAGAAGGCAGGTTTTCTTCTGTCTGTCCTTGCAGCCCACCACAGTCACAGGTGGGTCCTTCCGTGGTGTTCTGAGAACGGTGTCTGCTCTCTCGTCAGTGCTCGGCTTCCTGTCTGAGGCCGAGAACCCCAGCTCCGTGGGGCTTCAGTTTGGGCTGCAGTTAGTTCTGTCCGTTGTGGCTGCAGTCCTTCTGTGTGACCTCCTCTTAAACTCCCCCTCCCCGCCCAGTATAGCAGCAGCCCTGAGGAAGGATCTGACGGCAGCAATTGCGGAGAACACGCAGGGGCTTTAAGTTTCCCTCTCTATATACCTTCCCTTCTTGGCAGTTTTGTTACTTAAACAAGGTTCAAGTAGCTGGCCTCCCAGAGTTCAGGGTAAATCACTTTCCTTTGTTCTATTTCCTGCAATACATGTAGCTTCCACCAGATGGTGGTGGTGCTCGAGAGAGGCTGGTAAATCCTCATTGCCTCTCTGGAAACTAGTGAAACTGAACATAGGCACACACCCCGTGGAGCCCTGGTGGCACAGTGGTTAAGCGCTACCACTGCTAACCAGAAGGTTGGCCGTTTGAATCCACCAGCCGCTCCTTGGAAACCCTGTGGGGCAGTTCTACTCTGCCCTATAGGGTCACTCAGTATGAGTCAGAATCGACTCTGACTGCAACGGGTTTGTTTTGTTTTTTAACGCACCCCATGACCCAG